TTTGTATCTAGTGGCTGTTCTGTCTCTGACCCCAGATAAGTTTATTAGGGTGCACAATATTTTGGGGAACACAATACCACCACATTTCCCCTTATTTTGTCTAAAATTTAAAAAAAGCTTATAACTAATAAAAGAAAAACTATCCAATAAGTATATACAATATATACAGTCAAAAATTACATTAACAATGTCTAGTCCATTAACATTTGACAGATTCAGACAAAAAACTATATTATATATATTAACAATGTCCAGTCCAGTAACATTTGATAAACTCAGACAAAAAATTTTCATTACTTATCTTATTTAAAACAAACAATTCCTTTTTAAAGGTATTTTTTCTTTTCATAATAGATTCAGTAATCTACGTTTTGTCATTTTTATATCTTCCCCTTTTTCTTTTTAGTGTAGATTCAGTGATCTACCCATTTATCCTATTATTTCTTTATCTTTTTTCTCAGAGTAGATTCAATGATCTATCTCATATATATATTCTTTTTTCTTTCTTTTTTTAAAACAAAACCTCTGAATCTAATCTCCTTGTTCAGCTTTTTCCCTGACCATTAACAATTAACAACTTGTAACCAACCATCATAAACAATGACAATATCCAAAACTCATAAAATAACCAAAAACTTCCCATCCTACCTCTTGGGAATGTGGGCATCATTTTCTTAAAATTACTTTCTGGGGGTGAAGACATCTTTAGAGAATCCTGAAAAGAAAATTTTTGGGTTAATTGTCAAATCCTGTATCATTTGTCCAGTCATTGCTCTGTGAGTTGGAGGCCAGCCTGGTCTACAGAGCGAGATCCAGGACAGTCACCAAAGCTACAGAGAAACCCTGTCTTGAAAAAAAAAAAAGAAAAGAAAAGAAAAAAAATTGTTTCCCTAGGAGGAGAGGAGGGAGGGGAAACTGCGGTCAGGATGTAAAATAAATGAAAAAAATTAATTAATAAAAACATAGTTCCCCCATTATCATTGCCCTGCAGGACCTTTCTGGACAGTTTTGTTCCTGACCACTACCCGTTGCATTACAAGCGCCTTTCTTGATATACCACATGTCTGCTTGTATACTGTGGCGACAGACCATTGTAGTAGCTAGGACTGTCTCTCCTCTAAACACAAATTTTATTCCTTGTGGGCTATATCACTCTTAATGAATGTATATTCAGTAGGAGTATCATACTTTCTTGTGTGCTGATGAATCCTGTTTGCTAGTATGCTACTTAAATTTTAGCACACTTACATAGCTAATGTTGGTGTACAGCCTCTACTCATTATCCCATAATAGTTCTGCACTTGACAGTTTTGTAAGGGAGTGGAGCTACTGAAGTATTTATGTGTAGTGGGCAGCTGTTCCAGCTTTGACCTTGAAGCATTGCCCCAGTGCCAGATAGACTACTTGAGTTGCCTTGTTAATTCCTTGCATTATTTATGGAAGGGATCAAATATTTTTTTAACTAGAAAGACTTCTCTTGTCAAGTTGTGGAAAGTAAATTGAAAAAAAAAAGTAGAACTAATGTCGAAGAGTCTTTTAAAAAGATACTATTTTAATAGCGTATATTATCAATATGATAAAATCAGTAAGTATTTAGAAAGAAATAGAACTGCATATTTTGGAGAATGCAAGAGACAAAAGAAAAGAAATAGCCCAGGCTGACTTGGCTGTTATATTGAGTTCTAATATATTTAGAAACATTATTTCTTTCAGCTAAATTTTCCCTTGCTTTACAGAAAAAGGCAAAGTTAGCGTTCAAGACTTTCTGACCACATTTGCAGATACCTTGAGAACTCTAAAATCTGAAGGTGAGTTTTACTTAGAATGTGTTTAATGCTCACATTTGTAAAGATAAACAGTGGCTTACATATTAAAACAATCTAGATTTAGATAAAGCACAAGTAAAATACAATATGAAAACAAAAGGGCACAAGGTAGATTATTTGTAACTTTGCTTTGAATGATGATGCAAACATTGCTAAGTGTAACCTAAACCTAGAATTGTGAGCAGTTTCTGACGGTGCTAGAAAATTATCCACTGAGGTTTTATTCTCTGAGACTATTCAGTATTCGTATTTGACTTTGGAAATGATTAGAAAATTAAGAACAGTTAGAAAATATTTTTTAAAAGGTTTGGCAAACTGAGTGGAGTAGACCTTTAAGACTATTTATTATGGCTTTTTTTTTTACATAATCAACTACTGTATAGTATGTTTTTCACAAATTCATGAAAACATATCAACGTTGTTAGCAGTGTGGTTCTGTGTAACTGCTACCATAAACAACATGTGAACATGTCTTAAGAGATCCATTATGGTGTTTTATGACCCATTTCCTGCTCCAGCCCTCAGTGCACAGGGACCACTGCTGCTTTGCTCTGTGATAAACTTCCAGAACTTACCATGTCTAACTACAGCTTTCTACCCTCTGACCAGCACCATCTCTTTCCTCCTCACAGTCACCGTCACCCTCTCTGCTCTTATGACAGTGGTTTTGGATTCTGTACAAGTGATATCATCCAGTAATTGTCCTGACATTTCAGAGTACAATGTCCCCTAGGTTCATCCGTGTTTTTGCAAATGATGGGATTCTTGATTTTTTGAGGCTGAAAAGAATTCCACAATTATTTCATTTTTGAGACAGGGTCTTGCCACATAGTTCAGGTTGGCCTTGTACAAACTATGTAGCTCAGTCTGTCCCAAAAGTCAAGGTAATCCTCCTGCTTCAGTAGCTATGGTGGTGCACACCTGTAATCTCAAAGATCACCATACTTGGATTTTTCATTATTTAATCACATTTGTATTCATCTGTTTTCTAAGAAATGTACAAAATTTGTAGAACAAAAATCCTAAAACATTCCTAAAGAACACAAAATTATATTTTACTTGAAAAAAATATGTCTTTTCTGGAAAGGACTATCTTAAGGTTAATAAGATGTCAGTTACTTTTTCCCTAAATTTATGTATTTAATACAGTCTCAATAAAGGTATATAAAGGACAGCTTCCTTCTAGAACCAGACAAGCTTGATATAATATAAACCAACATATAAAAACTAACATGAGAACACAGAAAGGGAAGAGCTGCTAAAAGCCAAACACTACCAGGTGCTATTGTCTTCATTTTTATATTATAAAATCTTTATGATCAAATCATTTGGTACCATTGCATGAAAATATAAAAATGCCAAAATGATATGGGAAATACAGGAATAGACTTCATTACGTTTGTTAAGCAGTTACATAATATTGGTATCATTTAAGGTTGCTATAGGAAATAAGATTGGTTCTTTTCCAATGAGGATGGTGTAAAAACTAGGTAGGCAAAGGGAAAAGTATATATATTCACAGATAAGAATAAACTACAAACTTTTCAGTATTTAAGCACAAAAGTGAAATCCCAAATGCCTCAGTAGTTTGGATATATGAGAAGTCTTTCTGGTTTTGTTTCAAAATATAGATGCAATCACAGTGTGTATCTTTTTGTTTTTTGCTTCTTTTCTATAATACACTTTTGGATTTTTAAAAATTGTTTTGTTGTTTTGTTATTTTGTGTGTACTGGTGTTTTACCTGATTATATGACTGTACACTGTACACTTGTTTGGTGCCTGTGGAGGTCAAAAGAGGGAGTCACATCCCCTGGAACTGCAGTTACAGACAGTTGTGAGCTACAGTGTGAGTGCTGAGAATTGAACCCAGGTCCTCTGGAATTGCTCTTACAGACTTAGCCATCTCTGAGGGCCCAAGAATACAATGTTTATTGTGATCTACGAGGAAACCAGCCAGTGTTTCCGTGTTAGGTTCATCGTTCACTGTGGCGTGTTCACTTGTTTGCCAGGTTGAATAAATTCTCTTCTAATTCTGTGCTTCTCTAACAGAAGTCATTGTCTCTTCCCAGGAGAGAAAGAGAGACTTTACAACACCAAAATTGACAGAAATGATCGTAATGCCATTTCTGACATTAAGCAAAGTTTAGATGCTATAAGAATCCACCTAACAGATGGCGAAATACAGAAGGTGTTGGATAACACTACTCCTTCTAGTGAGTGGTTATTTCATTTTTAAATAGATTTTTAAGATTATTTTACTTTAAACCAACGAAGGTTCCATATTTCTTAAGTGTCACTTAGCCTAAGTGCCCAAGGAGTTTCAGCCAGCCTATTTCTTGTTCCTTCTCTTCCTCCTCCTCATTCTCTATTTCAGAAAAAAAAAGAATATTTTTCTTACTTTTTAAATAAAACATTTGTATTAAAGGGCATATTTTATTTATTTACTTCATTTTTGGGGGGAGGATGGGTTTTCACCCATACTTCCATATAACAGTTCATCATTGAAAGCAGTTAGGGCAGGAATCTGGAGGCAGGAGCTGATGTAGAGGCCATGGAGAAGTGCTCCTTACTGGCTTGTCCTTATGGCTTGCTCAGCCTGCTTTAAAAAATAATATTTTTGAGACTGTAATTTTTTTTTGTTTTTTTTTTTTTTTTTGAGACAGGGTTTCTCTGTGTAGCTTTGGCTGTCTTGGAACTAACTCACTCTGTAGTCCAGGCTGGCCTCGGACTCACAGAGATCCTCCTGCCTCTGCCTCCTGAGTGCTGGGATTAAAGGCGTGCGCCGCCACTGCCCAGTGACACTCCATTTAATTACAATGTTTCTCTCTTCTCTTTACATCCTCTAAACCCTCCCAGGTATCCTTCCCTGCTCTCTCTCGAGTTCATGTCCCCTATTTTCATAAATTGTTACTGTGCACATGTGTATTTGTATACACATATATTCATATATATAATATAACTTATTGAGCCCACAAAAGGAACATATTTTCAAAGTAATATCCCTGATAGTTTTTATTCTAGATCTGCTTATCACGTGTTTCAAAATAATTGTTGTGTTTCCTTTTTATTTTTGTGTTTTATAACTATGGCTTTAAACCATCAAGTAGTCTTTTTTAAAGAAAAACCAGAATACCTAAACTGTTCCTTCTCTTTGTTCTAAAGGTGATGTGGTACAGTTTAAGGATATCGTCAGAGAACTGGCCAACAGTGAGATATTTAATGAGTGCCGGAGTAAGTATAATTTGAAAAAATACAGACAGAAGCTTCATGCTTGTAGGCTTATGTATGGATTTAAGTTTTTGATATGTGTGTATGCATGCTGGCGTGTGTGTGTGTGTGTGTGTGTGTGTGTGTGTGTGTGTGTGTGTAATTTTGTATTCAAGATATCAGAGGTTGATGTTGTTATCTTCCTCAATTGCTCTCTACCATATATATTGAGGCAGGGTTTCTCACATGAGCCAGAGCTCACTGATTGAGTCTGTCTACCTAGCTACTGTGTTCTGGGATCCCTTTTCTCTTTCATGGACTGGGATTACTGGTGGGTTACCTTGCTTGTTGGACATTTATGAGGGTGCTGGATATCCAAATTCTGGCCCTCACCCTTGTACAGCAAGTACTTTACCTACTGAGCCAGCTCCTCAGCTCTTTATGTGTAATTTTTAGCAGAGTCCCTTCTCAGCTTCTTGCCCACACCTCCCAGGTGCTGCTATGCACCATGCTTATGTGATACTGGAGACTGAATGCATGCCAGACAAGCACTCTACCCTGAGCTACATCCATGGGCCCTGGCACCATTAGGGGTCACTTTGCTGGTTGTTGTTTAGTTTTGTGAGTTAAATGCTTAACATAATAGGTCTTAATTTATGTTGCTTTCTAATAGAGCATCAAAATCTCTAAATTTTATGTTACTTCCTGTTCAACATAGCAAAAAATAAATAAATAGAACAAGTATTCTAGAAAATGAATACATTTCCTTCACATCAGGTTGTTTTGGGGCTGGAAAGATAGTTCAAGAATTAGGACCTGAATTCTGTCTGCAGTGCTCATGAAAAAGTTTGGCATGTAGCATGCAGGAACAATGATAATGCATGCTTGTAATCCCAGCAATGAGAGGAAGTGGACATGGGAGGGTTCCTGGCCAGATACAGTAGCTTAATTGGCCAACCAAGTCCCATTGAAAATGCTTTCAAAAAACCCAAGGTGGATAGCTAAGTACCTGTGCACATGTGCACACATGCAATCAGGTTGTTATGTGATTAGCTGGATGCACTAACCCTGCTTTTTATATTTTGCCACCAAAATAGGAATAGAGGACACATGCAATGTTGTCGATAAAGTCACTGATGGAAAAATTGAAGTTAAAGACCTTTTACCTGCCTTGGAGAGCTTCAAGAAATCTTTACAGGAGAAAGGCCAGCCTGGGATGTTTCCGATTTCTGAGATGGATGGTGAGTACTTCAGTTACTTCTCAGGTCTTGCTTAGAGGATGCATGCTCACACCGGCTCTTTTTAAAAGAATGATAATACTGTATATTAGGGAGCTCTTTATGGAACTGATGCCCACATATTAGTCAAGGTGGAGAATGTTTGGATAGTCTTTACTTGGTTGAGACTAATAGAGGTAATCTTGTTATTAATATTTTAAAAACAGATTCTCATCTATTGGAATGCAATAGTTAAAATAAAAATATGATATTTCTATTTCTTCAGTCCTGGATTCTAGGGGTGACACAGAGCTCCATGGATTTTTGGATTCCTTTGATATAGAATATAATATCTCTTCACCATGGTCATAGTCATAGAATGCTTAGGCTCGATGAGCTACTAAAGGACAAGATGTGTGTGGCTTCTGGAGTAGTCACCAGAAGGCATCCACTGGAATGGTCCTGTTTTCTTTGTAAGAAGAATTGATGTACACAGCTTGCAGTTTACATCAAGGTGGGCAGCCGCACTCATTTAGCTGCTTGGTCCAGCTGGCTGCTGGGAGAGGAATGCAGTCAGAAGCTTTTGTCTCTCAGTTCTGTAATTGCTTCAATCTTTATAGTAACCAAATAAATCTGCTTTTAATATTTGCTCAGTTGAGAAGCTTTGGCTAATATTTGTACCCTTGAGTTACATTACGTCTATTCAGTATGGGACCTTTGGGGTATCTGCTCTGTTATTTTGTTTTGCTGTTTTGAGACAGGGATTCATATATCCTAGGCTGGCCTCAAATATATTGTGGTCAAGGATGATCTTGAACCTCTGATCCTCCTGCCTCTACCTACTGATTGCTTAGATCAGTGTGCACCATCATGCCTAGTTTATTCAGTCCTGGGAATCAAACCTTGGACTTGTGTAGCTAAGCAAACACCAGTCGAACTTTATCCCCAGCACATAGGATATCTTTTTCATAATATGAAATTTATCTTACCTACCTATTCTAATGTATGATTTAACTAACTATAAAGTACTCGAATTTCAATTGTATTAAACATTCTTAGAAGATGAAGAAATAAATAGTGTGACTATTTACTGAGATCATCTTTATTCTATCATATGATACATTTTGGATACAAACAATGACCCATAAAACTTAGTTAATTCAGAAATTTATCTGAGAGTGATGTTTATAAAAAGAATGAAGAGTTTTGGGAATGAATATCTCTATGAAAACATAATGAAAAGATGAGAACAACCTGAGTGTTCAATAATCATGCAAACTATCTGCTCAGATCATGACTACACAGTCATTGAATACAACAATCATAATGACATTAAAAATGAAAGGTAAAATATACAGAAAAGACATAGACTATAACTTCATGAATTTAAAGTGAAGAAATCTGTAAAAAATAAACAAAAATTTAGAAATTAAAATTAATAATCTCTGAATTATATTAGTATATTAAACAAAAACATAAATATGAATTATAAAATGGAGGATTTATATGGGGAGAAGTGCTATGGGATGTTGTTCTGTAGGCTGTGAATATGTGTTGCTCTGATTGGTTGATAAATAAAAAGCTGATTGGCCAGTAGCCAGGCAGGAAGTATAGGCAGGGTAAGCAGATGAGGAGAATTCTGGCAAGAGGAAGGGCTGAGTCAGGAGTCACCAGCCAGACACAGAGTAAACAAGATGACAAGGCAGAACTGAGAAAAGGTACCAAGCCACATGGCTAAACATAAATAAGAATTATGGGTTAATTTAAGTGTAAGAGCTAGTCAGTAATGAGCCTGAGCTAATGGCCGAGCAGTTATAATTAATATAAGCTTCTGAGTGATTATTCTATAAGCAGACCACGGGAATGCAGGAGCTTGGTAAGGCTGGAGAAACATTCCTTCTATAGAGAATCCAATAAAGACAAAGATTTGGAATATAGGAAAGAGTTCAAGGCGTAAGAAACAGAGACTTTTAATGCTCCTCAATACACAGGAGGGAAAGGGTGGCTGTTCAGAAGCTATTTAAGAGGGTGTGGCTGATGACCTTTCAATACTGAGAGAAACATCACCTATAAATTCCCAAAGTTCAAAGACTTCTACATAGATTAAAAAGGAATACATATGGAAGGGTATTGCAAATTGCAAGAGAGCGACCCCTAGAGGTATACTGAGAGAAAAGCCAAGCTTGCCACCTTCAAAAAAGGAACATTTCCCAATTTTTGATATTTTTTCTTGGGTGTTGAAATGCTGGGAAGTTTTCATAAGTTGAAGGAGGGATATTTTCCAGTTCAGGAGGACGCTAGACACTGAGATTTTGAAAATACAAACTAAAGTTGTCAGTTTTTTGTTTAGTCTTTACAAATACTTTGGGTGAATAACAGCTGCTATGCTTCTGGGTTAGAGCCTCATGGTTAGTCAGTGAGGACAGCCAGGCTGGTGGTGGTGGGGAGTGGGAGGTTAGGGGTGGGAGTGGGAGTGGGGTAGGGTGGAGGGGTGGAGGGGGGCTGGAAATGCATCACTGGGTTAGAGCCTCTGTCAGTGAGGGGAGCCAGGAGTGGGGAGCTGGAAATTCATTACTGGGAAGCACATTGAGTGTTTAAGACATAGAAACACTTACTTCATTTAGAGTTTTTAGTTCTTGTCAGGGGATTAATCCAGGCATCTAACTGCTGTGGTCCCAGGATTCCATTTGCTTTGCTTTAGTGTAGTTAAATGTAACCCAATGACGGAGCAGTTCTTTGTTGGAACCTTCTCCCACTCAAGAGCCATGCCATAGTGTGAGAGAGGCATATGAGACAGGAAGAGCTCCAAACCCTGACCCCTCTTCCCTTTTGTTCCTTCAGTATCCTTCTGGCTTTGGAGATGAGGGTGCTGCATCCTTGTATGTGGGGCATCTCTCACCTGAAAGTCTCCTGGCCTGGTTCAGACGCTATGGACACATCCAGTGGATGTGTTCTTTCCGTATCCATCCTATGATCTATCTATTCAGCTTAAAATATTCAATATACCACCAAGCTATGGACCTCACCAGCCCTATTCATTTGCTTTGGTGCATAGTTTTTATTTGCTTCCATGTTGAACAGGGAGTACTAACAGTAGGAAAACAAGGACATTGTTCTTTTTTGTCACCAGATTTCAAAACAATGATGTCCTTGTAGAAAGTGGATCTACATGTTGTCTTTTACTCCTATTTATATCTACTTTAATGAAAATTTATATACATCTTCTGTGTATGAGTTCTAAAAGTGTATGGGGGGGTGGGTTCACATGAGTTATGTAATAAATGTGATAGGTCCTGAATAGCATTAAAAGGGAAATGGAATACTTTGAAATTGGGTAGAGGATTTTAGAGTATATCACAGGCGGTAAGGGTAAATGTTGTTCTATAAAACTTGAATCTTGCTGGGCAGTGGTGGCCCATGTCTTTAATCCTAGTTCTTGGGAGGCAAAGGCAGGTGAATCTCTGAGTTGAGGCCAGCCTGGTCTATAGAGCAAGTTCCAGGACAGCCAGGGCTGCACAACCCTGTCTCACAAAAACAAAAATGAGCAACTCTGTCTCAAAAGACAAAACAAAACAAAAAAACCAAAAACAAAACTAAACAAAACAAAAAAACCAAAAAAACCCCAACCCTTGAATCTGTGTATTGTGTCTGTATGTTGTGTGACTGTGGGAGGTGTGACCATGCACATATTTGCATTCTCTCAGTCTAACCAATGTGTTGTGATCACAGAAATTTGATAGTTGAGTGGAATAATACTAACACAATTATTGCCTTAATACATTTTTAAAGATTTATTTTCAGCCAGGCAGTGGTGGTGGTGCACACCTTTAATCCCAGCACTCGGGAGGCAGAGCCAGGCAGATTTCTGTGAGTTTGAGGCCAGTCTGGTCTACAGAATGAGATTCAGGACAGGCACCAAAACTACATAGAGAAACCCTGTCTCTGAAAAAAAAAAAGATTTATTTTATTTTATGTGTATGAATATTTGCCTGCATGCATGTAGGTATGCCACATGCATGACTGATACCCTCAGAGGTCAGAGAAGTGTGTCAGATTCCCTGGAGCGGGAGTTACAGATAGTCATGAGCTGCCATGTGGATGTCGGGAAGTGAACCCTAGTCTTCTTTAAGAGCAGCCAATGTTTTTAGCTACTGAGCAATCTCTCCAGCTCCTGCTGTTGTAAGTTTTAAATTGACTCATTTTTTTAACTTTGCAGAAAGAGAAGTGGTCTTAAAAGAAACAATTGGTTCTTTTGTTGACTCATCTAGCCCAGCAACATCATTCACCAGTAAGCATACTAAAAGAATAAAATCAAAATTTTTAAATCATCTTATGGTATTTTAAACTTTTCTGAAGTAAATTTTGTTTTATCTTTATTTTTAGTATTTTCCCAGAGTTCCCTCTGTCTTATTTTAAGTGTTATATCCAGACTTTTCATTTCTTAGCATATTTAATTTGTGTTTTGAGTATAATTAATTATTTAGAATTTCATGTCTACAATGATTCTTTAAGGCAAATTACTTGTCTCAGTATATGTATGCTATATAGTAGCAATATCCCGTTACCCCAGGGGCATATTACCTCTCATTTCTATGAATACCCATGTGGTTATCCTCCCACTCATGACGCACGTTGTGAAAGAGCACTGCAAAGGTCCCGTGCAGGAAAGCTAGCAGACATGCCTGTGCAGGAGGAAGGCTCCTGAAGTCTAAGACAAGGTCTTACTCTTTAGTCTGCACCAGATGTTTCTTTCCTTGTTTTCTTTCCCTCAACTCCTTGGCTTCTGTTTCTGCTTCTCGACCTTCTTCTCTGAACAGCTGCCCAGCTGTTGGCAAGCTCAACTGCTGGTGTGTGTTACAGTGATGTGTGTAGCAGAAACATCTCTGAGAGCAAACAGTTAATGACCAAAATGAACTTCCTCAGAAATTATGCCTAACTACTGTTTGATATTGTTTATTGTTTAATTGATTTCTAAGGAAAAAAACACACCGATGTGTTTTAAAAGCTTTTTGACTCAGAATTTCTTTAAAGATATACCTATCTCCTTTTGTAAACTGTGGGTACCAAGGATTAAAAAGGACTTGATCTCAGTGTCAACATCTGTTCTCATTTCCTCCAATATTTGCAGGTTTATTGAAAGAGATTACAGCTTTTGATAATATCAGAAATAATACGATGCCTGCAAATGAACTGATCTCCAATCTCACGAGTGCTGGAATTCCAATAAGCTACAATACAATGCAGGAGATCCTGAGACAGGCCTCATTCAATGGTGAATTCTTCTTTCTTTTTTTTAATTTTTAATTTTTTTTAAATTCTTCTCTCACTGTACAGTTTCTTCTTTGCAATTATTTGGTGTCTTTTAAATATTGAGATATAGATCACATGCTGTATAATCTACCCCAATGATGGATGATGATGATGTATACATGTGTAATGAGTCTTTTTCTGTCCTGATAGCCAGCTCCCAAATAATGACACAGAGATTTATTAATTATGAAAGCCCATCCTTAGCTTAGGTTTGTCCCACCAGCTCTTATAACTTAATTTAACCCCTTTATATTAGTCTACATTCTATTACGTAGCATTACCTCTCTTCCATCTAGAGCCTCCTGTTTCCTCTCTGTGTCTCCTGGCTTCTCTGCCTTTTTTGTTCCCAGAGTCTTTTCTGTCTCCGGAAGTCCCTCCTAACCTCTTCCTGCCTAGCTGTTGGCCATTCAGCTCTTTATTACACCAATCATAGTACAAATATCCCACCACATTTCCCTCTTTTTGTTTCAATGAATAGGAAAGGTTTTAATTCTAACATGGTAAAACTATATACAATAAGAGCAATTATCAGGTAAGAATTACATCTACAATGTCCAATCCATTTGTATTTGGAATAATCAGAGAAAATACTCAATTGTCTATCTTATCTTGATGAATTTAAAGTTTTATACCTAAACCATTTTCTATCATAACTTGTATTACCATTCTAAAACTATCTTTTTAGACCTCAAAACATTTTCTTAAACAGCTTAAGCTTTTATGTTTCTCAACCTTATAAACTTTTTTCTATGTAAGTTTATTTTACATTTTTATGTAAAACTATAACTAGTCTTCAGCTCCATCTAAGACCCGATAAGGATATAATATTACCTGAGTAAACATTAAATAGAGAGCACACAACTTCCAAAACTACAGAAACAACAGAGACATCTGGTTGCCTGGACAGTCACCCAAGGTTTCTCTGTAATGCTGTGGCATCCATCTTTGGTCTACAGGCCTAGAATATCTGGCAGACATTTTTTTGAAGCAGGAATTTTGAAGGACTGTCCTATCTTGTCTTTGCAAAGTTTGACAATTGCCTTGTTTTGTGTCCTGCTTGTTCAATTTGGACCATGTCAGCAATTGAGGCAAGGGCAGTTTCTTTTCCCAGTGGCTAACTTTGCCACAAATGAAAGCAAACTCTATATAGGGGTTCTTTGATGCCCATAGCCTTCTTTGAAGTAGATTGGTGCTGCCAGACATGTCTTGCTGTCATGAAAAGCCTTATGCTGTTAAAACATTTTAAATGTCATATTCTGTAGGTCTTTGAAGTATTTGATGGCCATCTATCTATTTAAAATATATCTCTGTTTGACCTTAAAAACATACCTAACATTACTATAAGTGTGATTGTTATATATGACTACCAACCTGTCTTTCTTTATTATCCTAAATTGCTTTCAAGGACTAGAACTTTACATTACATTTTAAAATGAGCTGCATATGTACAGTACCTTAAACAAGAATAGAAATATGTACAGTGTAACAAAAAATAACCTTAAATTTGTATCAATGTAGAAAAATCTTTTTTAACTCACAGAAATATAAACAAGAGTAGAAACATATGTAGAGTATTTTCTAATGAAAATAACCTTAAATTTGTATACAAAAATCCATACCAATGTGAAATATTTGAGATTAATAGTTGCTTTTTAGTTAAAAGTAGATTCAATAATCTACTCTTTTACTCTATCATTCCTATACCCCCTTTTTTTCTTTTCAGAAAGAGATCCTTGAATCTAACCTCCCTTGTTTAGTTTCCTCTCTTACTATGACCAGTAACAATTTGCAACCAACCCCCCTAAATGATGACAAGCATCCATAGCCACCGAACAACCAAAAACCACCCACCCCACCTCTTGGGAATGTGGGTGTCATATTTTTTAAATTACTTCCCACTGTCTGGGGGTGACAACATCTTTAGGGGACCCTGAGAAAATGAAGATAATGATAAAGTCCTGGGAGAGCTAGCTGTATTACTTTTTGTGTAGTTTCTGTGTGATGGGAAGGTGTAGAGCTTATCTGAAGTCTTGGCTGGAGTAGTCTGTGAGGCTGGACCATCTCAGCTAGCAGCTTTGAAGTTGTTCTGGATGCAGAATTTTGAGGAAACTGCAACAGAGGCATTTTGAGTCTGGATCACCTAGGCTGCTTGTCTTCATTGGTATCTTTTTTTTTTTTTCTGAAAACACACAAACTTTTAAAGGTTTTAAATGTGCCATCTAAGTACATTTTTAAGCATACTGTATCTGCTTAGAGATTTTTTTCAACCTTCCCTGAGAACCTAGCCTCATGCTGTTGGGTATGGGCAGGAGCTGCATTTATGGACCCCGCTTTGGGAAGTTGTTGAGCATTCCTGAGTCCCCAAGAACAGCAGCTGACTGTTAGGAGTGCTCTCCTGTGGTGCTGGCTGACTTCTCCATCTGTGTGATCATGCCCCGTGTTGGAGCACCAAATGTAACAAGTCTTTTTCTGTCCTGCCAGCCAGCTCCCAAATAATGAGCTTAGGTTTGTTCCACCAGCTTTTAAAACTTAAATTAATCCATGTATATTAATCTACATACTATCACATGGCATTACCTCTCTTCCATCTAGCACCTCCTGTTTCCTCTCTGTGTCTCCTGGCTTCTCTGCCTTTCTTCTTCCCAGAGTCCTCTCTATCTTTGGAATTCCCACCTAACCTCTTCCTGTCTAGCTATCTGCCATTCAGCTCTTTATTACACCAATCACAGCAATACACCTTCACACCGTGTACAAATATCCTACAACATATATGTGCATTATGAAAGTTCTGGGTTCTCAACTGGTTCCTCACCCTTACATGGCAAGTGCTTAACCACCAAATCTTCTCTCTAGACCCTTCAGCAATTTTTTAAATGTTGGATATCCTCCTAACCCCCTATTGTTATATATATTTTTTAATTAGCTAAACATAATAATTTCCCTTTGGCATTTTCAGACATATTTAGTTTCATTGATTCCCCTCTCCCATACTCCTTGAAGTACCAATCTGTATGAAGCCTAATGAATTCTTAGTCTTACTACATTCTTGGAATCCTGTTGCATATATAAATATATTTCATTAGTGAATATGTTTATTTCTTAATTGGAAAATGATATTTGGTACATGTATGTTGTGTAAAGTAATTACATTAAGATAACCCATTCCTTGTCTCACATCCTTATAATTTTTTTGATGACATTTAAAATCTATTTCAGCAATTTTCAAGTAGAATGTATCGTTATTAATTACAGTCATTTACGGTACAGTGGACCTCCTGAACTCCAGCCCATGTATAATGGAAACTTTCTTCCCTGTCACCAACTACTCATCTCTAGTTCTCACTCTTCCACCCCCAGCCTCTTCCCCTACATTCTACTCTGTTTCTGACTGTTTTTCTTTGTCAGAGTTCCCATGCTCTATCTTCTACATAGTTTTCTTTACTTTATGCACTGTCCTTCAGATTCATCTCTATTGTTTCAAATGACAAACTTTCCTTTTGAAAGCCAAATAGTATTCCATTGTGTGTGTCTGTGTGATCATCCTACCTACTTTATTCATTTATTAACACACACTTAACACTTGTTTAATATTTTGGCTGTTTGAATAATGATGCAATGAACACAAGCATGCAGCTATTTCTTTGATATCCAGATTCAATTTTCCTTAGTGTACACCCAGAATTAGAGTTCTGGATCATATAGTAGTACTGTTTTTGTACTATTTTAATTTTTGGATGAATCTCCATAGTTTCTTGTATAATGGCTATATTAATTTATTTCCCTACCCTTCATGTATGGATTACCTTTTCAACATATCCTTGCCCACATTCTCTCTCTCTCTCTCTCTCTCTCTCTCTCTCTCTCTCTCTCTCTCTCTCTCTCCCTCCCCCTCCCCTTTCCCTCTCCCCCCTCTCTCTGTGTGTCTGTGTCTGTGCACATGTGTGTGCCTCTGTTTGTGCACCTGTGTGCCTGTATGCACATGTGTTTGCATGTATGTGTCTTCAGTCACTCTTCACCTTGGATATTGAGGCAGGATCTCTCACTTGAATCCAGAACTTGCAAATTCAGGTTGTCTAGCTATATATTTGCTCAGGGATCCCTTGTTCCACTTCTCACAAACTAGTATTACAGGTGAGCCACCACACCAATTGGTGTTTACTTGGTGGCTAGGGTCCTCATTCTTGCATGGCAAGCACTTGGCTTGCTGAGCCATATCCCAGGCCTCTCTCTGTTTTTCTGATTAAAGTTATTCTTCCAATTGAGAGACAAACTGGCCTTTGAGATATAACAAAAAATAAGGCATACATAGATAGATGGGCTAGAAGATTATAACAGAAGGTAGACATATTGAAAATGCATTAAAATTCATGCTATTTTCTCCTGGGGATATTTATCAGTCATACTCTGTGTTTCCCAGATCAAGTCTATTTTACATATATACATATTTATATTCATATGTAAAATTTATATTTTATTTTTAAGCCAAGTAGTAAATAAAAATAGTTAAAACTTTTTGGAAGGAAGAGATTCTTGGTAGAGCTATCTCAGATAGCTCTGGTTTTAATCCTGTCACATTTCAGAAGTTAGAATATTTGGCTATTTCCATCTTCTGTCATAGTTGTTTAATGATGGATTATTGGCACCTGCCTGTCCCACCTCCTGTCGTTTAGTGATTAGTAGCACTAGCACTTTGCCATTTTATAATTATGACCTTCTATTTTTTAGAAAATGATGAAGTAAGTGTCAAACAGATTTTGGAGAACTTAAGTACACATAAACCAGATTCTGTATTGGAAGGTGGGTAAATGCCGTCTGACTTCAAATACTTTTTAAGGCTTTCATTGTCTTAAGATACTATTTTTGAAGTAGCATTATGAAAAATAACTTGTACATAAAATTATGTTTTTATATTTAAACTGCCCGATTTGGTGAAGTGTTGGCCTGTGCGTGGTAATAAACACTTTCTACCCCCAGATTTTCTCCACATCTCTTGATAATGTCACCTGCCTTCTCTACCTTCTTTCTACTTATTACCCCTAGGCAGTCACAGGTCTTTCTGTCACTAAAGATTTATGTTTGAATTTAAATCCTTTTTGGTAGCTTCCTTTACATGGCACAGTAGTGTTGAGGTTTATCAATGCCTGACATGCTTTAGTAACTCATTCTTTTATTACCAAGTACTATTCCATTTTATAGGTATAGTACAGTTTATCTGTTGACTTGGTGGTATATGATGTCTTTAGTTTGGGGCTTTCACCTAAAAGCTGCTGCAAACATACATGTTAAGGTTGTCATATAAGCATGCTTTTACTTCTGGTTAATTACCAAGAGGTTGATGACTGGGCCATATTTTGATGTATGTTTAAGTTTTTGAGAAACTGTTTTATAAAGTGGTTACAAACTTTTTTATCCATTGGCATCAGTAGTGGAAGTATTTGAGCATGCCAGTGTCTCCACATCCTTGTTAATTGTGATTAGTAATTACATTAGTAGTAATGTAACTGTTCTCACAAGTCTGAGTAGTGTGTCACTGTGATTTTCTTTGTATATTCCTGGTGACTAATGATGTTGAAATCTTTTCATTTCTTTGCTTTTCTCTTTATATTTCTTTGGGTTCATATTTTTTCCTCATTTTTAAGTTGGGTTATCTTTATTATTTCTTTATATATTATGGATGTAAGTGCTTTATCAGATACATGCTTAGCAATTATTTTCTCCAAGTCCTTTGCTAGTCTCTATTTTCTTGAGTGTCTTTTTTTTGGGGGGGGGGTTTCAAGACAGGGTTTCTCTGTGTAGCTTTGGTGCCTGTTCTGGATCTCACTCTGTAGACCAGCTTGGTCTTGAACTCACAGAGATCTGCCTGGCTCTGCTTCCTGAGTGCTGGGATTAAAGGCGTGTGCCACCACCGCCCGGCCATTTTGAATTATATTTTTAAACACTGGGATTCTTTTATTTTTAATGCCATGCCCAATTCTCATTATTCATTTGTTCATTTTGAAACTGAGTCTTAATCTATTTCCAGGCTGGTCTCTAACTCTTAAGTTAAGTGGTCTTCCTTCTTCAGACTCCAGCCCTTCAGTTCCTGTTAGTTTTTCATACTGAGATCAAAACAACTGGTCACCTCAAGGAAATACTCAGGATAATGGAGTTGATGTCTAATTTGATTAGGTTTGGAACCATGGAGACAATGTTGTGTTATATTTTTGGCAAGCTGCATAAATTATTGGCATATTATTATTCATCACATAGAACACAAAAGCATTTACAAAGAAAAAATATGAAGTGCCTTTGACTGTCCATTTGCTTTCAGATATACAAACAGCCCTTAATACTACCACGTTGATGAGCTCCGACAAAATTCAAGTTGCCAACTTAAAAGATGCTTTTAGTGACCTCAATATTCCTTTAAGACCCAAGGAACAGCAGATGTTAGAGAAAACGCTTAATGCTGATGGTACGTATAACCACTGTCAGTCTGTTTGCCTTAACAAAATTGTTCTTCTGAGATCAACATTAAGTTTAATAAATACCTTTGTGTGTTTGAGCTTTTGAGACAGTGTCTATGTAGTCCAGGCTGCCCTAGAATTGTGTATCCCAGGCTATCTCAAACTCTTGACTCCTGAGGTTGTGGATGCCCAGTGCCACTCTGGCTAATAGAACATCTTAAATAAGTTTAATGAACATTTTTAACACCACCCTTTAAAGTCTCATTTATTGATGCCACTGGTTAAGGCAGATTTGTTTTGAACACCTGGTGAACATTAAGGAAGGTAAAGTGATTCTCTGGGAGGGCTGGGGTTATTTGAAACTGTTAGGAAGAAAAAGAGGGGTCTTTCTGCTCTGGTTGAGATATTTATGACATGAGGTTGGGTGAGAACTTCCAAAGCTTTCAGACAATAGGACAGAGGATTTTCAAATTTGGAAGCTATTGTGTGTACTTTAAAAAAATTGATTCCTAAAGTTAGAAAGGAACTATATAGGATAAGGAAGGGGGCTGGTGGGGTATGGGGAGAACCAGAGGGTGATGGTAGCAAAGTAAATGTAAAAAAATAAGATTATAAATACATGGTATGAAACTATGTGTCAGTTTGTATGTTGAATATATACCAGTAGTAAATAAAATTAAAAAATTTAAAACATAATAAAGTGAAAATAAAAAACTTGGCAAAATAAAGCCAATTCCTAGGACATTTTTCTTTTATTCATCATTAAATGAGCTTGGGCATTGCTCCGTTAGTTATATTGACTGGGGCACTACACGGCATCACATCAGGGATCTAGTGTCATCTATGTGAATAGAACCAGCTCATGTTGTGCAATGTGATCAACCTGACATTCAGTGCCTTTAATATGTCAGGGGTTATGTACTACGCAGCATATAAAATAAATAAAAATATTTGCATTTTGAAAACATTTGGTGAGATAAGACATGGAAGACAAAAGGGTGGTGGCTAGAAATGTAGCTCAGCTGGCAGAGTGCATGCCTTGCCTGAAGCCCTGAGTTTGATCTAGTCCTGTAGAAACCTCATGTGGTGGAATGGCCCTGTAATCCCAGCACTCAGTGGGGGGAGGCAAGAGGATGAGAAGTTCAAGGTCATTTTCAGCTATACAACATGAAGCTTGCTGTATAAGAAGACATACAATGGGAACCAAATCCACACGGGGTGATAGGGTAGTCAACAGAGATGTTTTAGAAGAGATGACTTTGGAGTTGAATCTGAAATATGAGTTGGAATTTGGCAAAATTCGGAGACACAGGGAAGGAACATCCAAAGAGTTAGGTAAGAAAGTTCATTGTGTACAAAATGTAAACATTAAGCAGTATTAAGGGACACCAAGTAGTCCAGAATATCTGATGTCTTTTCATATGTGAGATACAGGAAAACCTTCAGGTTTTAACCCAAAGATGAAACATTTATATTAGGATACTTTTGTAAACAGAAAGCTGAAAATGTGCAATAGACAGTAGTCCAGGCTGGAAATAGAAACTTTGAAGTCATCCACTGTAGCTAGAGTTTTCCTGCCTTGCCCACAGTCAGGACAAATCTTTGTCACCCGCCAGTCCCACAGCCGCTCAGACCCAACCAAGTAAACACAGAGACTTATATTGCCTACAAACTGTATGGCCGTGGCAGGCTTCTTGCTAACTGTTCTTATAGCTTAAATTAATCCATTTCCATAAATCTATACCTTGCCACGTGGCTGGTGGCTTACCGGCGTCTTCACATGCTGCTGGTCATGGCCGCAGCTGGCAGTGTCTCTGCCTCAGCCTTCTGCTTCCCAGAATTCTCCTCTCTCCTTGTCCCACCTACTTCCTGCCTGACCACCTACTTCCTGCCTGGCCACTGGCCAATCAGTGTTTTATTTATTGACCAATCAGAACAATTTGACATACAGACCATCCCACAGCAATCCACATATAGTGCATAATTAGAAGACAGCTAAGTGTAGATGCTGGGTAAAGTGAGAATAAGCCAGGGACAGAGCACCAGGGCATGCCCTCGGTTAAGTAGCGGTGATAAAGAAAGGGTAGTTATAAGGGCCTTAAGAATTAACCAGAATGATGGGGAAGAAATCAAGAGGTAGCCGTATTAACAAAGGAAAGTGAAGTCAGTTTGAAGGCGGGAAATATTAAATTAGACAAGAATTAGGAAGTACTCACTAGCTTGGTGGTAAGTAGTCAACTGGTAGACTTGATAAGAACAGGTTTAGTGGTGGTTGATGGAAGCTAGCCACTGGTAGTTGGAAGATATGAATAAAACCATTTCTTTCCAGAAATTAGCCTGTGATAGAAAGGGAAGGGATAGAGTAGTAGTTAGGAGGAATGCAGGCTGAAGGGAAGTGTTTTAAGGAAAGTAAACGATGAACTGGTTTTCACATGAGTGGGGTTTGAATAGATGCATGGTGGGTAGCATTCTGGACAAAAGTCCACAGTACAGAAAACTATATAACATGCTCGAAGGGGGCAATAAGCAAACTGATGTAGCTCACTATGGATATCCATCATGTTTCTTAACTGTTAATTTAATCTTTGTGCTGCCTTTCTATTTATAGAAAATGGAGACGTTTCCCAAAGGACTGCTCTTTTAGCATTGAAGAGCAATAAGCGTCTACAGGATTTTAGAGGTGAGGATAATTGAGAAGCTTTGTGTACATTTAGAATTTAGAAAAAGAGCCATCATTGTTGAAAGGGATTGTCTATTTACACACAAAATATAGCTAATATTTTATCTTATTGAATAAATGAAACACAGTAGTGTAAGGGCTTAGATGAAGGTGAGCTTCTTATGTGTATGTAAGTCAGGTTTTTAACATTGTTTATTAACCTCTTTCTTCGTTCCCTCCCTCCCTTCTTCCTTCTTTCCTCCCTCCTTCCCTCCCTTTCCTTCTTTCCTTTCTTTTCCTTAGTAGTATGGGGAACCAAATCTATACCCCAGTCCTATTTATTAATTTTCTCTCTCTCTCTCTCTCTCTCTCTCTCTCTCTCTCTCTCTCTCTCTCTCTCTCTCAGTATACACACATGTGAATGTGCATGTGCAGAACCAGAGATCAACATTGGGTATTTCCCTCAACCTCTCTTTACCTTATTTTTTGAGACTGGGTCTCCTTCACTGAACCTAGAGTTCATTGATCTAGCTAGACTGGCTGCCCAATAAGCTCTAAGGATCCTCCTGGCCCCTCCCATTCCTACCTGCATATACATGTGTCTGCTTTTTATATGGGTGCTCAGGTCCACATGCTTTTTTGGCAAGCATGTTACTTATTAACCATCTACCCACAACTTTACTATTAATTCTTAGTTTCCTGTTTATTGTAGTTTTATTTATTATTTATTATTTGGTTTCAGGCCTTAAATTAATTCATTCTGAATTGATGTTTGTATATTCTCAGAGATAGACTTCTAGCTTTATTCTTTTTTTTTTTTTTTTTTTT